AAAAAACTAAACAAAAGGTTGGCTTGAGCAAGGACTTTTCCAGGAAAGAACATGAAACTGTCTGAAGAGCTGTAGATGCTTTACATCTGCGGAGAGGTGTAGAGGTGCATACTGTGAGACCCCTGTTTAGAGTCAAAGACTGTGGGATTTGTTCCCAAGAAAGGAATTAAAAGAGATAAAGAGATCTGAGACTTGGATGGTGAAAAAAGGATGAGAGGTACAGTTAATTCAGTATGACATTACACATGACAGTGTCAATAGGGAGTTAATGATAATGAGTATCTAGTAAATAGTTCAACCACTCCTACATCCTCATGAAGGGCAAACTGGCTGGGTGCAAGCAATCCAGGAAAATCCTCGATTCCATCAAATATATTTTTTTCATCTAAGTGAGCAAAAAGCCAACATAGCGAGGCACTCTGCTAGATGTGGAAGAACTGATGATGAAGGGAATGTGAAGTCAATGGCAGCCTTCACTGAAGCAACCACGAGATGGTAGAATTTAAGATCCTGAGAGAACCAGGGAATGCAAGCAGCAGAGCATGGACTTCAGGAGAATGGATTTGGGCTTGTTCAGGGAAACACATAGGCAAGATCCCACGAGAAGCTGCTGTGGCGGGTAAAGGAGCTCGGAAGAATGGGTTGATCTTCGGAGAAGATATGCTTGCAGCACAAGAAAGTCCGTTCTGGTGAGCTGGAAATCGAGCAGGCATGGCAGGGGGTCAGCTTGGCTGAATGGGGAACTCCTTTGCAGACTCAAACATGAAAAATGAGGATTTGGAAGGTGGAAGCAGGGAGGAGCTACCCAGGAGAATACACCAGGCAGGCAGGGAAAGCCAGAGTTCAGCTGGAGTTGAAACTAGCCAGGGTTATAGAAGGAACATGCATAGAACCGTATAGAAGGAACAACAAATTTCAAGTCAGAGAGAACACGCCACTACACCTTTGTGCATAAAATGTCACATTTTGTTAGGGAGGGGAAATCACATGAATTTATTTTCAAATGTTTCCGAGATGTGCTGCAATTGAAACACATTGAAAGAGAATGGGATAGTCCTACATTATCTCAATTATTGGTTGGAAACTCACAGAAATATGTTTGTTCTATGTTTAAAAAAACACAGAAATTATAAACAATTTTAATATGCTCTAATGAAAATGTTTAAACATTAAACACTGCAATTAAGCAATAAAAATATACAAAGTAAGCAAATGAGGTAATAATTGAGTTGCTGGTTTTATCATCCTTATGAAATGATGAGAATGGAGCAATCCTACTTGCTCTACTGAAAGATTTAATAAACTTAGTTAAAAAGAAACCTAGACATTCAGATGTTGTGGAGTTATATAGATGGACCATCTGTTTTTTTCATAAAGTTTAGCAGATGTGGAACACATAATCAAAGCAAGGAACTAACCTGAAAGATAAAAAAACAGACTACAAAGCAAGCTCAGAGAAACCCTGAAACAATATGAAATTTGCAACAAGTTAGATCACATGATTCAGTTCATGTATCATATAACATGTTCAGATTCAAGGTGCAGGAAGCCTTAACAATACTCTCCTAAGAAAAATTTTACGATAGGACTGAATTTTCAAAAGGTATTGCACAGTTTTCATGCAGACGAGTCTGTATGCACAAACCAGAGATAATATCTTCATAAAATCGCAACAGCATGAAGCTCAGTACAAGAAAAATGTCAAGTGAAAAGGAAGATATTAGATGGACTGCGCAATCCTAGATTATAATGGAATCATATAAAAAATGATTTGGGTATTGTGCATTTGGGTAGAAGTCCTAAAATGTGAAAATTTCATCATCTATGACTCAGGTTTCTTCTTTAACATAGCAAGGACCAGGAATACTAGATAATAAGAGCATTTTAAGTCAGCTTTTGATTTATTGCTCAAAAATGACACTGTAACCTTGAAACAAATGGAGCTTCATTTTCTGAAAGAGGTAGAGGTTTTGGATCAGGCACTGACAGCAGGAAACAAGAATGTGTCTGAAGCTTACAAGTGCTTGTGCAAATCAAATAAATACCTGACTCAAACAATAGAGATGGGGGAAGAAAACCAGGCTTTCCTTGCCCTTGAAAAGAAAAAGGTTATACCCAGGTTATTTTCTCAGAAGTTAAAAAGAAAACTTATCAGGTAGTTATGGGTGTGTATATATGGGAAAAAAAAGAATGTAAGGGAGTGAAATTTTATCCTTACAGACCAAAAACACTCAATCAATGAGTGATGCTGTGGAGCATATTAAGCTGAAAGTTGCTACTCTGGGCAAAAGTCTAGCCAGAAATTAAACTGAAGTACAGCAGAAAGTATTGCAATATCACGCCCTCCCTCAAACAAATAAAACAAAGAGCAAATATGAAGTAAAAAGGGATGCAGACATAATACCTAGTCAAAGGGGTATGGGGAACAAGAAGGTGCTGGAAACCTTGCAGAATTACCCGTAACCAGCAGGCACAGCTTCAGACAGGCTAGCATTTCCCCTTCTAGAGAAAAGACAAGGGTACACAAAAAAGATTTGGTCCTCTGTAGATCAACACAAACACAAGACATGAAGGCATACAAAGCAGAAGTCCTCTGACTTGCAGAGGAGCCATCCCTGATTGTGTGAGGGATCAGGTCCTGGAGATCAGGAGAGGTGCCTGAGGACTGGAAGAAAGCCAATGTCACCCCAGTCTTCCAAAAGGGCAAGGAGGAGGAGCCAGGAAACTCCAGGCCTGTCAGCCTCACCTCCAGCCCTGGAAAGCTGATAGAACAGCTCCTCCTGGAGGTCCTCACTAAGCATCTGGAGGACAAGAAGGTGATCAGGAGTAGTCAGCATGGATTCACCAAAGGGAAATCATGGTTGACCAATCTGATAGCCTTCTCTGATGGGATGACTGGCTGGGTAGATGAGGGGAGAGCAGTGGATGTTGTCTCCCTGGACTTCAGCCAGGCTTTGGACACTGTCTCCCATCACATCCTCCTAGGCAAGCTCAGGAAGTGTGGGTTGGATGAGTGGAGAGTGAGGTGGAGTGAGAACTGGCTGGATGGCCGAGCTCCGAGGGTTGTGGT